TAACGCAAAACACCTACAGGTGAACATAGGAAACAAGTACATGATACTCACGGAAAACACTTATTCGTTCAGTCTAATTATTGCCGACTTTGCAAGCTAATGCTTGGAAAGCAAAGTCATCTCAATCTTTGGGTGCTGACGTGCTATCCGATCTGCAAACTGTTTAACTCAGGGCTGTCATGTTACCGACTTGCAGAAAAAAATTGTTACAAGTTCAGATTATATGAGTACTCTAGTAGTCCAGTATCGTGGATACCAATATTGTGATAGGGAAGATACTGAATGAAAACTTGAAGCCACCGAACCAGGAAAAAAATTTCGCGTTTGATACTATGCGTGAAGACTGCACTCGTCACCCATATTATATGAGCTAATTTTTGTTGAGCTGGTCTAAAATGGAGTTAAAATTAATTGATCTTATATTTTCGTTGTGTATTTTTCGTACATTTATTTTCATTGCCCCAATCCCTTTTGCTTGCAATTTCCAAAGACGTTGAATACAGTTGAGAATAACTTACGGAGTCTACGATGCATTAGTTATTTTAATTAATCCAGTAATGGTATAAATATTGTGACTATTTCTGCGTCATTGGGCGATGTTGCTTTAGCATCTCCTAACTTTTTATGCGCAACGACCATGCGCTGCACGGTGAGAATGAATCCTTCTCACTACATTATCGTTATAAAAAGCATTCCATGCATGCCATCAGTGATCCAAGCACCGAGTACTACTACCCATCCATTCATGGTTTTCTCACGCCATGTACTACGTGTGCAGTGACTGACGAAAAGATTTCCCACTCATGGATGTAAATCACGAACCACCACCCCTTTGCTCCCTTTGCTCGCCCCCACTCCTCACTTTCACGCGCCCCCTCCCTTTATCACACGCCGTCCCTTTTATCGCACACTTCCCTTACCCGCACCCTCTCCCTTTACTCGCACCCTCTCAATTGCAACCTCCACTTTTCTTGCATCCCCTCCCTTTCTCGCACCAATTTTCTCTCACCCGCCCCCCCCCCGTCCTCCACTCGCAACCCTCCCCCTATACACAGTGGGAGGCTTGCCATGGTTGTCGATGAACACGTGACAAGGGTCTATTTTGGGGCGCCTAGTGTGCGCCGCAAGGGTGCGCCACATGCCACAAAAAAACGGAGAGCGTCCCTAGTCTGAAATTTGGTTGGCATCACAGCGCAATGATTTCCTCATGAGAGTCGTTCTTGCGATCCAATTGAAACAGGTTAAAGCAATAGTTCAAGCAGTGATTTCGAAACAAACACTTAAATTTTTTCTTATTAATCAGTACACGTGTAACGAAAAAAATTGAAAGTAATCTCATTAATAGTTTGGAATAAACAAAGCCTGAAAATAATATCTGAAATCGTAACGATTTGCCTAACAGGTAATCGTCTATTTAAGGGCAAGCAGGAGTCAGTGCTATCCTAATTTGCAGTAATAGCGAACAGATTGAAAGGCTTCTTGAACTACATTTTCTACCACCATTTAGGAGACCTCCTGGCAACTCTCTGAAAATGAACATAAATGCAAAATCAGTTAGACGAGAGCAAATTATATAATGATCGTGTGTTCTACGATGATCGTGAGTTCTACAATGATCGTAAGTTCTACGACGATCGTGAGTTTTTACCATGATCGTGAGTTCTACGACGATCGTGAGTTCTACGATGATCGTGAGTTCTACGATGATCGTGAGTTTTACGATGATCGTGAGTTCTGTGATGATCGTGAGTTCTACAATGATCGTGTGTTCTACGATGATCGTGAGTTCTCCAATGATTATGAGTTCTACGTTGATCGTGAGTTTTATTATGATCGTGAGTTCTACGATGATCGTGAGTTCTACGACGATCGTGAGTTCTACGATGATCGTGAGTTCTACGATGATCGCTAGTTTTACGATGATCGTGAGTTCTACAACGATCGTAAATTCTACGAAAATCGTAAGCTCAGAGCCAAGCACCACGCATGCAAGCTTTATGTTGGCTGTACTGCACAACAGCGCAGGTAACATTGCCCTAGTCCTACAAAGACTTCATTCATGTGTCCAGCTAACGTGTACATGTGTGTACAGTATTGCTTCAGTCACGTTCGATGCGCGTGCGTAGCTCACTAATACGCATTTAAATAAAATAAACCAGGAGATGCATTCGCAACGATGTCGTAAGATGCGTAAAGTGTTACTCTTGAACCGATCAGCACGATCACATTTGGCAGCTTTAGTTCGGATTACGAATGTGATGTTGACGATGAATTTACAATTATAGTAATTCTTTTTTACGGACATCGGTTTAGGAATGGTGGAGTACATTAATGAGAATTGAATTACAACGTCCGGTTGCTTTCATTTTGGGTTCAAAAGTGGGTTTAAATACAGCAGGATTATTGCAATATCCTGGTTACGAAATACTACGTTACATTGAGATTCATAAGCTTAAGAAGAATGATTGTTGAATGTATTGAAGTGTCGAGAGTTATCATGAATTTATTAAGTTAAATATTGAGCCGATATTTGAAGTGAATTAGCAATAAACTATGATGTGGCTCTCTACCCTGTTCCAAATAATTAATAGAGGTAGTCATATGTAGCTAGCGATGGACAAGAAATAGATATTTCCACGTCAGGTTTAGCAATGCAAACCAATCGCTGCAATGAAGGGCATCAGAAAGTTATAATTCATGAGCGGAAAAGAGACTGCGCGCTTTTTTTAGCTGGTGAAAGTCCGATGGAGGAAGAGAGAGCTAACAAAGGAGGAAAACAAGGAAGGTGGGAGTCTCGATCGTCGGCTAGGAATAGGATAGAGGATCAACCCAGAAAGAACGAGAGTGACTTGTGATTTCTAGAAAAAATAATAAATGAACTAAAATTTAATCGAAATAAGAGATCAGTTGAAATTGAAAAATAAAAATCCGTCTATTGAACTAATGAGGTAATCCCCAAGTTGGTAAACGTTCTATTAATTTTTATATCACAACGCAAAAGTATACGTTAATAATGAAATAACACACACAGTGTATTCGTATTTAGGTTTCACTATCCAAGGAAATTGTTCCCTAAGGCGAGTTATGTTTATCAAGTCTACTCGATTGACGCAATGATGCTTCCTATTATGACGAATTTGTTCAGGTGTCGTTTTTAATATCCACTATACTATAAATAAAGTTTGTATTCGCTGGCTTGTGGGCAATACTTATCTCCTTCATTGATCAGATTTTCGTCGAAAAATCTTCATAATAAATTGGCTGCTGCAGGTATTCTTTGTAGCCTTATCAGCATCACCCGATATGCATGACAAGACGAGCATTATGAAGCTGTCAGCAGTGGCGCCATCTACAATCTTATCAAGAGTTTAAACGATTTTGATAAAATTCATAAGTTGGCCTTGGGCCACGAACTAGCTGAATACCTGCGTCGTCGCTTTTATTCAAACGACCTACAAACTTCATATGAAAACTGAATTTTTCGTGAACATTTACTTAGCGGAATAAATTTCAATCAATCAATAGTTGACAGAGGTCTGGATGCTGTACACCATTTGCGTGGTCATGCGAAGGTTGAATGTTGCAAGATAAACAAAATTATCACGATGATTTTAAGTTTAAGATGATACAAGATTCACGAAGTTCGCATATTTTACCCTTCAACCCGAACTAACATGATGGGCGTCAGCCTCTTGACCAGTTAATTGTTGACTAATTAAGGTTTTGCGGTCAGGTATAATCGTGGATTAGCTGAATCATAGTGAATGATCTGCGATGTCAGAATTATCTCGAGGGTCTGAGCAAAAGAGTAATCGACAATGCCCTACAACCAGAACCGTGGTTTAACCTTATAAGCCCTCATAGGTTACGATTCCATTCAGGGTTTGTTGCGTTCCATATTTACATCTGGAATTTTGGGCTGTGTCATGCCCACAACAGAAGGGGCCGATTGCGTCATTCGAGTTTAGCGTGTGCGATTATCTCGTTTATTTCCAAATAAGCTGTAGATATACGTAACGTATATGGGACTTATAGGCACGCAAACACATGAAACAACTTCGATTCAATCTAAGAGTTATAGCAGTCAGTTCACTCCGGAACGTTGCATCATTACCCTACCCTCCCCCACCGTCCTTTTTGGCCGCATCTGACACACTCCAAAGCTACTGCCCCTCAAAGAACCCCCATTTCTCAACCCCAGTCTCATTCACCCCTACACGGCGCATGATGTCTCCCCCGCTCAGCTCTCTTTCACACTGAGACCCCGCCCGTCAGATTGTGCGAGATGAGTGGAAACTGCCACAAACAATAACAAAATATTCGCTACCAAATTCATTCGATTTGACAAAGAAATTGTAATAATTTGGAAAGCAAATAAGGAGATAGCAAGAAGCTCCATCGTATAGATTAATCAATAAATCAGCAAATGTGATGGAGAATAGTGAAGTGCACAAATTCGCGCCTTAGTTACGGGCAGCTAGCGCCATCTAGAGCGGCTGATAGTAATGACATTTCACGAGCTTAACTTTAACTAAGAGGTAAAAAATGCTATGCACGCGAATCCTTACTCGGCCGGTTTTTCTTACTCAATTGTCATTTAGAAGAAAAATACAGGAAATTATAGTAAGATTTTATTTAAAGAAGCTACGACGTCCGTGGCTGCGATCCAGCGACCTTTACTGTAACTTACTTTTAGTCACTACGGACTGGTTCCGGTTCACAGCCTGCGGAAACTGGGACATGTTGTAGCGTTCACCAAGCTTCCGTCTTATTTTGTTTGATTTGCATCTTTTTATTGTCTATAATCTTGATGGACGTAAAAAATAATGAGTTAAGAGTTCGAAGCAGTTCACTGTGAATCCACCGCGTGAAAAGATTAAATTTAGATGTAGGAATTGGATACATATATTCAGTTATGTTCCTAATGCTTTGAACAAGTGGAACATATGGGACTTCCGATCTTTCGAAACGAAATTATAGGAAAGAAACAGACGCACTCCTTAGTCATTCAAAGAAGTTTATTTTCGCACACTAAAATCCTTCGCTAGGAGAACATTTTCCTACGAAGTAAATTTATGAGCACCTAAAATTTAAATAAAGCTTTAGTTTACGCACGAAGGTGATCATTAAATTATACAAAACGCACGACCAAACGACGTTCGTTCAAATGGTCAGAAGGGCATCCCAACATAAACATTTCAGAATTTGAGTGAAAGATTTCTTGACATGAAAAAGTGATAGATATCCTTGAGAAAATTTTTCTTTCTGCGGAAACTAAGCTTTATTTACGGTCATATATATATAGACACTAGAACAAAGAAAATATCAGTTGTCAAAATTCCCTTCATCTTCATGGATACTCGAGTTATAGATTCGATGGCAAAAAGGGGAGATTATTTCAATCTTTTAAATTATGAATTGAATTTCAAAACATTTCATGAACGTACGGAAAACGAGTTCAAAGAGGCTGAGGAAACTGGCAGCAGGGACCGGAATCATTGAAAGTTAAGAGGTTATTGAAAAGAACTTATCGCTGCGGTCTTTACATTAGACGAGATTAAAAGGCGAATTCAAGGGTTAATTATATCATTAACAACTCAAAATGTTACTAAGGAAACTGACTGTATTAAAAAAGCTACTGTGAGGATATATGATGCTTCTCTCGGGAGGCGTGGCTCTTATAATAATCTTAGGATATGTCCAAATACACGACACAATCACTTACACTTTCGTTGAATAAAGAAAGCAATATTGCAGCTCAAATCACAACAAAAATTATCCAACACTTTGCGAAGTGCTAACCAATACACAAGCTATACGGGATTTCATATAATAATCTAACCTGGTTTCTGAAATCAGATCCGTTGAAGGTTTACAGTTGAGTGCATTTTAAAGCTGTGGCATGTGAGATAGTATCCATCTGTACCAAGTATCTTAAAACGCATTGATGAAGGTGACTTGATATAATATTACCTTTAATCTTTGCGATAATAAGACACAAGTTTCACGATTTCGAGAAGACCAAATTTACAAGACATCAGTAAGACAAAAATTTCAAGAGATATTGGTTTCCGATAGGAGATATTGGTTTGGTTAGTAACATTGTTGGTGATTACTGTAAACTTAAAGTTGAATGAAGAGGATGCATTTCACGGTTTAAAAAACAAACAAGGGAAGATTTGCAGTACAAGCAGCATGTGGCGATTCAAGGTTGCTCAGCTAAGGGTTTTACAAAACTGCAAATTTAGCTCGACGAGATACGTATGTAAATAAAGCCATGAATGCGAATTTCTTAATCGCTATATCACAAAAGTTCACTACAGAAGTAATCGCGACGCGAAAATCTTATGTAGGTTTCAATGCACAGTAAAATAGAGATAATATAAAAACGTTACCGAGAAGATTGCGTGCATGTCGAAGTTCGGAGCCTAAATAAGGACAGTTTGAAATACGCATGGACCGTTAAATGTTCAAGGGCCTTCACGAATGCTGAAAATAATTTACAATTAATTTATTTTGAGTCTTTATTTCTTTGCTTCACTGTGCCTTTTAATCAAGATCACATAGTTGTGTGCCGAATACACGTTTGATACAGCACTGTTTTAACTAATGAAACAAAGTTCAATACGAAACTCCTTGCTGAATAAAGAGACTGGAAAACAAAAGTGAAGTACATGTCAATACATCTGCAACAAGATCAAATAATATAAATGATGAACAATGGTTCAACTTGCCTAATGGCCGGAAGTAAAATATAATTATAAAAGGTAAATAATCTAGAACTTACGCGAAGTGCATTAACTCGCATGCTATAGATACAACTAATGAATGACAAGGCTCAAACGAAGTAGTATTGATTAGATTGGTAGTATGTTACTTACCGCGTAGTGAAAAAAACAAACACAGTTAGAACACTCCAAAAAATAATATAAACAAGTAAAATTTCTTAAATAAAATAATTAGAACAGGATTACCGAAGCTACAATACACGAGATACAAGGTTGTCCGTTATAAATGAAACGTTGAAAGACGTTGTACCAATCAAGGATTAGTTTGACATATCCCACGCGTTCAGCGTGCGCAATGTTTTTGCCATTCACTTCTTGTATGTGGGGTTATATCATAAAACACATACAGCGGTTTGAGTCAATTAATCAACTTACACCATCAATTTACTTCAAGACACTTTTCAAGCACTGAATCACGAACAATGATTGTTAACGTAATCATCGATGTTAACCATCAAGCATTATCTTTAAGACTATCCCCTCTGGGCCCAAATGTATCACATTTCAACTAGTCGACGCATTTGTTCCATTCAACTGATTCAAGCAATGCTGTTGACAGCGTACAGCAAAATACATTCTTCCCCATAAATAAAGCATACATTCACAATAAATGAACTCATTCTTTCTATATGTGGAAGAATGTATTTTGTTTTACGTTCATAATACGTGGGATGGACAGGAGAACACTGCGAGCACGGCACTACCTATAGCTGGATGAACGAAAACGGAACAGGCGAACGGAAGACGAAGTTCTCACAAGGGGGAGGCGCCGTTAAAAGCAAGCAAAGATCGGTTCGGGTGGAACATATGCAACGCTTGCAACACGAAGCATGCGGGTGATGTAAATATAACGAAGAAAGAACGATGCCGCTTAACCCTTCATAAGATCAGTTATTTTTAGAGAGATCTGTACATAACAGTAAAGCAATAACAAGTATGTACATTGTACAGGGATTATTGGGCATACAGATACAGAGTGCATCAACTATAAACTAATAGAACTGACAGCATAAATAAAGCAGACCATTCGACAACCAATACAATAGTTGTTTCGCAAACCATTAACATGAACTTTACCGCCATAACTATTGACAAGCAAGGTTAGAAATTGATATTGTTAAAGTCAAAATCTTCAATGATCAGAGTAACATTATAACATTACTCAAGAATAACTTGGTGAAGGTGATGCTTCATTCATATTCGTTACATGACTATAGAACCTAAGCTAATACAAATCAAGTTTGCTCACATTCTGAGTGTATAAAGAAAAAGGCATATAGACTACGTACTGCCAAGTTTGCTTGAGAAGAAAGCAATTATCCAAAAATTCAGTTTAATGGAGGTTTAACAGCTTCAAGAATGCATAGGCAGTACAAAAATGTTTATTTATATCCGGTTAAATACATACCATTACGAGCACACCCCCAAGTTAGTATATACAGTAATTTTATAGTCGCGTTCCGTTCTATACCTCATAACAAGAGTTGAAAAGTCGTACTCTGCAAGTAGTAATTTATCAAATCCATTGCCGTGTGTAGTATAAGGTTAACGACGCGAAGCATAACGTGCCACAACTCATCCTCCTGCTTGGATCACGACTGTCTTCAAGCCACAACGTTAGGTCTAATGACATGTTTGATGCTGGAGCGGCAGATGGGGCAGGTGGAGAGAGCCAGGGTGCAGTTGCTGCAGGTAGCCATGTGAGTGCAGGGCAGAAGGACGACACTCAGATCAGCGTCCATGCAAATCTTGCACAAGCGGCCTTCCCGAAGTCGCTCAACTTGTTCCGTCAAGTTGCGCACTGCAAGGAGCCACATTTATCACCGGCATTGTCAACATTAACTAAAAAGACAACTTTGAAAAATTAATAACGAAAAGGGGCCAGGCAAATATACAGTGAAGAAAATAAAACCACAGTATTAAATGAGGTTAAATGGAATCCACTAAAATCTATAACAATTGCTTTCTACCAAACATACAATTCAACATAAAAAGGTCATCGGTGAAAGGGTATTGAATACAGTACCTACTAAGTTGTAAATAAAGCTTGAGAAATATCATACATGAAAAAATGAAAAAGCACAAAATTTTTCAGAAAGAAAGCTTTTACCAGATTTCCAACACTAGACAACGGCTATTAAAAACTATTTCATTAAAAACGATATGAAGAACCACCAAGAAGCGAATGATGATAGTGTACACACATACTAGCACTTTGAAACGCTGGAATTGCTAGTAGGTACATTATAAGGCCATTTCTTCACAGTGTTGGCTTCTGCGCAGTAAAGTAAATTGAAAGCCTGGCATCTAAAAAAATGAAAACTGGTATCTGAGGCAAAAATGAACGGCAGGACGAAGAAAAATGCGCTGCAGAACAGAGTAGGATTATGCACAATTTTGTTTTTGATGTCAAAGACTTGGAGCAAGTTTGTTCACTGTCTATGGACTGCAAAGAAACGAAAGTAAACTACACCCGACATAAGTGCCGGACACTAACACTGCAGAACAAGGTTTCTCTAGTGCATCTAAAACCTATGAAAATATTTTTAGTTAGACACTTCGTGATTTGAATTTGTCATCTCATCGCAACAAAGTTACTCTAGATGTATTTTACAAGGAATACATAAGTAAAATTCAGAACGAAAAAGCTGGTATAAGAAATTCACTCAAATAAAATGAAGTCCTGTACCGTAATATTTTTAGAGTAATAATAGTAAAATGATCTTACCTTTCTGCTCAGATTTTAGCAGCTGCTCCTCGAGCGATAAGGCCTCTCCATCAGAGCTGCCACCAGCTTCAACAGCCATGAGCTCGCAGTTTTCAAGGTTGCACACTGAAGACTTGGAACTCGTCGAGCTTTTTGCAGAGCAGTTCGAAAGGTTGCGACGCACGTGCTTCTGCGTGGCATCTGCTTTGCTGATGACTCGATCTACTTGCCGCAGCATCTCCAGACTGATAGGGTCTGCTGCCAGCGACATTGTTGAGGATGACGAGGAAGGGGATGAAGGGGGCAGGGAAGGGGACTGAGAGAGGGGAGGAGTCAAAGAGGTAAGAACATTCACATCCATGCCTGAAGAGCTGATAATTTCAGGTTCAGATCCAGTGGTAAAGTCCATGCTCCTGGGTATTGGTGATGCTCTAGGAGTAGATGTGTCATTGAAGGCCTCATTCACAGGAGAAGTATGAGTTGAGTTGGTGTTGTTGGATGCAGCATCCCTTGCTGACTCGTTAAGAAACTGGACTACCCTTTCCACTGGCTCCATGGACTCATGCTCCATGAAATATTCCTCCAATTGACTGGTGTCAAAAGTTCGGTCCAATGACTGAACATCATCACTGAGTGAGGAGTTAGATTGTGTACTCGAACCCTGGGAAGAAGTTTCATCGCTAATAAGATTGCTAACAGCAGCATTGAACCGGCGAGGAGGCATCACAGGGCTGGTTATGATGGGTGTTCGTGAACCGCGTGGGGGCGAGGCAGCAGAAGGCATCAGTGAAGATAATCTCTCTATTCGTTGGGTGTTGACAACATCCTCTCCTTCAGACTGGCTTGTCCTTTCTACAGCAGCAGTAGTAGTGCTGATATTGTTAACTTCTCTTAGGAGGCTGTCTTCATGACTTTGATGAATTCTGTCTTCTCGTTCTCGCTGGTAGGCAGCCAATTTGGCTTCTTGCTGCCTGTGAGCTTCGTCATTAGCATTACTTTCCTCGCTGCATGCCAACACCCGCTCAATACAGGTCTCTAAATTGAAGAACGGAACACCCGTTTCCTCTATCTTGTACCTCAAAGCTCTCTTAACAGCAGGTCTAGCAAAGCCCATCTCGAGTACGGCTCTCTGTACATCGAGATCCATGAGAACATCCAGCTGCTCGTCCGTTATATGCACTCGGTAATTAGACCGAACATCTGCTGAGTAGCTGTGTGACACATAAGGAGATGTGCTTGCTTGGTGAGCTAAGTCGCTGGTCTCGGCGCCCCTGCAGGAGTCTGTGCCATTCTTTCCAGAATTGCATTTAAAGAAGGGTGGATTTTCTCGGCGTACCTGAAATGTGAATGACAATTAGCAAACATAACATTAAAATTTTATCAATACACAAAGTTACTATCTTATTACACAATAATCCGAGAACAAATAATGGAGAAGACTATCATCTTACTATTCTTAGAGAAGGGATGCCTTTTGGAGACCACCACTGCCGTGATTCGAATGGACTTTCATGATCCCTTCTCTCAAGAACGTAGCCTATAAAACTTCTTGACTGTAACATTATCAGCTGCAAGCTACCAGACAGATCACATCCTTTGAAGTAGACCAATCAGCCCATAGGAAAACAGCCTGCAATAGTTTGGCCCAGAATCGTTTGCTGGTGCGCAGAAAAATTCTGCGCCACTCGGAAACACCGTGCGCCAGAGCATGAGATATGATGCCCTCCATCAACCCCTCCGTATGTGTCCCGTGCATCGAATCAGCCCATGGTCGAATTTATTTAAAAAGCAAGATGATGTCATATCATATTTAGAACAAGATATGTCATGGGCTGGTTACTGACAGCAGGATTAATATGCAGCTGATTGGTGCACAAAATTAGTGGTGCATGGCTGCGCTCCCTTAGAGAATAGGCAAAATATTGTTGATATCTAAAATAAAATAACAAGTCCACATTCACTATTTAAATAATCAAATCAGCACAGTTATTATGCAATCTCAGGATATAAAATGGGAGATACTTGCAAAGGAAAATAAAATTAATGGCGTATAAGAGGCATCAAAATTAGATAAAAATTACAAAGGAATCAATATGACAAGGTCAAACAAAGCAGTAAGAAATTTTAATAAAAATCAGCCAACAATAAAAATCTGCTTGGCAAAAGGGATAATAATCGATAGGCAGGAATAGGTGACGAGTACAATTCAATCTATCAGGTCCAGGTAATGAATGTAAATAATGAAATACAACAGCATAAATAACAATGGGAACTTGGAAGACCATCACATGATATGAGAGAGTGAAACCGAGACATTCAATTGGGTGCAAACCTTTTGACCACCGGGACATAAGGACTTGAACCCCATGGTAGGAATTTGAAGATAAAAAAGATGCTGAAAACGACTCAAAACACTACTGCAGTATATGAAAAAACATACCTGATCAATGAACTCGATGCCTTTACTGAGAAGCACATAGTGGCAGTTGGGGTACCACCTGGCATGCTCCACCCAGGGCTCGTCATTCTCTTCCCAGTTCCTGAGACCTTGGCCGCAGTGGTAGCACCGCACGTGGTCACTCAAACCTGCACACCAACTTGCAATTTAAATCCTGTTCAAGACAATCAACATTTATTGAAACTGCACACCAGCTTGCAATTTAAATCCTGTTCAAGACAATCAACATTTATTGAAATTGTACACCAACTTGCAATTGAAATCCTGTTCGAGACAATCAACATTTATAGAAACTGCACACCAGCTTGCAATTTAAATCCTGTTCAAAACAATCAACATTTATAGAAACAATGTGGAATTAAAATGAAAAATCTGAAAACACTTGCACAAATTATTTGCAAGTAAATGTTGAACTATGACGGTAACAAATGCCAAAAAACTCCATTCCTCCATTTTGGTCACGTTACTTCTACTAAATTAATGCATAAAAAGTGCCGTTCATCACATCAAAAACGATTGGTGCTATGAAGGAATTAAAGAAAAAAACTGAAATTTAGTAATAAGGACACAATTGAGCAGAGCTATAAATATACATCAGCCACACAATAATTGCACAGTCTACTTTCTGAAGGCAATAGTTAACAATGAATGAACAAGGAATGATTTTATCCTTCAGATAACGTGCATATGACATTAGGTGCAGTAGGCTGGAGTGTAGAACCAACATGGTTGCCAAATCAATCCAGCAGTCAGAGTTGGCGTCAGTATTGTTTTTATACCTCAACACAAAGGCAACCAAGAAACCAGTTTCCATTTACTTCATCTTCATTCTTTGAATGACCAAATTTTCCAGGGTCAAGATTCAACAAACACTAGTTCCGTAATTATTATAGTGAAAGAAATCTGTTGTGGCACAAAAAATTTAAATAGAATAATTTTATAAAAGCTCCTCAATTTTTAATCATTTGAGCAGTAAATAAAGGCATGCAAAAGGTGGTAGGCAACCTGATAATATTGTTAGAAATAACATACCACAATAAAAGAATCCAGCCTCTGCCAGTTGGGCTGGCTGTTGCTTCACCCCTCTGGGCCAGTTCTTGTAGCTTTTTATCCGAGATTCAATAGTCAAAAATTCCTTGCGCTTAGGCCCAGCATATTCAGGTAGGCCTGTGAGAGCATGAGGACAAGGGTGGTTGTGTTTCGGAGAGTGAGCAGGAGAGCATTCCTCCTTTGGGGAAGAAGGTGAGAGAATTTTCTTGCAGTCACACTTGATGCTAGACTTGATTCCTCCATTTTGGTCACCTGTGAAAAAGATTTTTGTCAAATGATTATCTGAATTTGACTAAAATTCATGAGCTAACATGAGATTTTGCATTTATGCACTAAAAAATATATATACTTATACTGTACATACAACTGAGCAAGTGCTTGGGTAAATGTAATTAATTCGAGTGGTAATAATATCTTCTGTAGCACACTGTCACACACCAAGCAAGAATTCATGGTAGCCTATTCACTTATATATAAACCTAGGCATACAATCAACCACTCAAGTTACTAAACTAGTATTTCAAAAGTTTAATTATTATATAGATGATAAAAATGTCCAAAAATACCCACAGTTTGTATTTAACGGCCCGACAGCAGGTAGGGAAGCAAGCAGATCTCCTTGAGTAAGAGGAACATTGCCAACAGGGTGTCCTCTAACAAAGGGGCACTTTGGGAAGTGCCGCTGATGCTCCTGATGAGGCACATCACCAAGCTCCCAAGCCCCAACAATACCGCGGCAAAATACACATGAACAATAATCCTTATCTCTCAAATAATAAAATCCATCTTTCGCAAGAGATTCAGGACTTAGCCAGTCAATTGGCCAATCAATGAATGTTGACAATCTTTCTCTTTCATATCTAAGCGAATCAAATGAGTGAAAGCCTTTACATTGCACAAAACGTGGCTTGGAAACAACTGTTGGTGTGCTTGCCCCAGAAGAATCTTGACTTGATGATGAAGATGATTCAGCAATCGACATTTGTGAAGGCTTTAAGCCACTTTTACATGGCAGGGCTACAGCGCCCTCAACTACTGGTTTCCTCTCAAATTGATTTTGTGCTTCACTGCAACCTGGAGTTCTTTGGGCATGGTCATGCTGAATTTGCTGTATGCTGGTAACATGTTGACTGCTGATTGAAAATCCACATTTATAACACTTCAAGGAACCATCTGGGATATTATTGTAAAAACCAGCTTCTGCAAGCTCTCGAGCTTTGAGGGACCCCAATTCATTTGGGAGGTTGCTGCATGAACGTTCTCTGTAGTTGATGTCCTCAAGAACTGAAGTGGGAGCACAAGGACTGCCCATTTCCAATACACTCTCAAGCTGCTGAGGCAATTCCAACACAGAATGCTTGTAGTGAGCTTGATAAAATAGCAGTCAGTCAGACATGAATTGATCTGAAAGAAAAAGACCAACATCAAAATTGATAAGTTTTAATACAATTAGGCTCAGTCTGAAGTATCCTATATACATAGTGTACAGGCTTCAATGAATGAAAGAAAAAATTCAAGACACCAACTTCCAAGCAAGAACATAGAATGAATTAATCCAATTTTAATGATAAGGTTCATCAACACTGCAGTCACTTTTTTGAAATTGGAATGCATTGATAGTTTCCTGTAGTCTAGGGTCAGTTCAACACAGACAATTTTCAATGCAAACTAATCCCCTTTGCATTATTCATAATGTATTATAAAAGCAACATCATCACAAATGCATTGCTAGTTGCAAAACCAGTCACATAGTGGGACATTTATGTTGTGGGAATTTAAACCCAAGGAGATAAGAATTCAACACTCCTTGATGATTTTTCAATATATTTTCAAACTGCTGTTGCAGGAAAAGCCTTCTAAAGATTTTCATACCAGGGGTTCTGCAAACCCCCTTTTCCTGCGCTGCAAAGATATGTTGAGTAAAAGTATAAAATTAAAGCAAGAGTATAATGTTCTGTGTAAACATTGTAAGTAGACTGCATAAAATGATTATATAATCATTTTAAAATTGTATGTGTCATTCTATGGATGGATTTAGCACACTCCTTAGGTTCATCAGGTTTCATTCTATTTTTGCTTTTCAGACTGAGTACAAGCTGGCAAACTGTTATACGTCATTATTTGAGGTTAAGTTGACCTCATGCCTTGGTTTTGGCACTGGCTTTTATTTTTTATGTAAGTGCCATTCTCTATTAATATAACGGTTCCTTACTTTTATAAATAAATAGAAATACATAACACCAAATATTAAATAAAATGGTGGCTGAATGTTGTTGTAAGGCCCAGGAAGGTGAACAGTATCACTAGGCTATTGTTTTCCTGAACCCTGTGCAACAAACAACCTCAGGCACAATGCATGGCTTGCAATTGCCTTTTCTGCCAGAGTCCTGTTACGGGTTACCTCTAACACTACCAACATAGTAGTCAGTGCTTGTTATCATATTTAGTTAATTTAAGTTTATTTAAATTTAATATTTGTAAAATTTGGACACACTGACGCCTCGTTTATTGTCCTGAACTGATTTCAGAAAAATTAGATAAAGAATGCATGAGTAGTGAGATGCTGTTGCAGTAACATCATTGTCAAGGGGCTCACAGTTTCTCATCACTAGAAAATATGACTCAGTACTCACTGCAGTGAGTGACAGAGAGCGCATTTTCTCGTCGATGAGAACGTGGTCACAGACGGACGGATGGACGGACAGACAGCCGGACGGACATGACGAGCACAATTGCGCCTATTTTCCATAAATGAGAAAATGCGCTAAAAAGGTTGAAAATTCTCAGTGAACTTACAGTAGAAATTTTAATGAAGAAGTTTTGTAACCAATAACTATAATGATGTACTTTTCAGAAAGCACTCGGATAACATGAAGGATTTTTAACAAGAAAGTGATTTATTTTCAAGTTGTCATAAATCTCCAATTCTACAAAATTCATATAGATTGGATGGCATTTTTTGAGTCAGGCTTCATGATTTTACATTGTCTTTGATACAATTTCTGATGCAAAAGGACATGATTTTACATTGTCTTTGATATGATTTTTGAAGCAAAAGAACATCACTCAGGCATTTCTAATAACTAATCTCAGGTAAAGATGGCACAGCAAATATATATCAGACAGTAGTTAAAAATTTATCATCTATTTCAGGCTCAGACCTGAGGGCTGGGAGTTGGGTTTATATTGAATTTGGATTGGATTTGGGGTGGGGTGACTCTGAGAAAAAAAAGACATTTCAGTGTAAGGCCATTGCAACAGCCATCAGCCATGCATCACATATTCACTTGTTAGTAGGAAGGAAAAAGGGAGACCAAGCCAGGTAAAAGCAACATTAAAAGAAGAGGCTAGAGAGGTGTGAAAGTTTGTGTTAAGGGTGAGATGAAATCAAGGGGAAGAGAAATTCATATGATTTATTGTTGCTGTTTGTCAATTATTGCACTGTATAGTTTTATATTAGCTATGGGGGGCCTCTTAGGACCTGAATGACTATTTGTGTTATATTATTATGGTTAGGTTATTCCAATTTTATAAATGTTTTTTTTTCTCACAACCCAGCCTGCAGTCTTGCCAACCTAATGCTCATAATAATAATAAGAATAATAATAGCAGTTTCAGAGTTTATTAGGCCGTAGGCCTGTCGCCAATTCTTAACATTGCAGAACATACACAGCATTTTGCAGTCTTGAACTGGCAACTCACTGCTCCCATTCTACTGTGCACCTGTGCTTAACTGCCCAATCTCCTTGCCGATTCTGACCAGAAACTGTTGCACAGAGCTGGGAACGAACCCATGTCTCTCTGCTCCAATCCTGGTACTCTGAACTGTAACCACTGGGTCACCCTGCCAGGCCTGCCCAGTGCCCCCATCATGCTAGCATCTATAATTCTATAACCTAAACATTGTGTGAAATATTAAAGAATTGATAGCCTTGAACAGTCTAAACTTTAACCAATTGGCTGAAGTATTTTATGTTCTAACTTCTATATTTTGGGTTTTCATATGTTATTATGATCAGTGACTGTGAGATCAGTGAGAGAAGTGAGATCTGCAAGGCCATGGTAGATGATGTTGGTGGATAATGGCAATTGGCATTTGGCAATCTACTTTTTGTTTAATATACCTAATGTTTATTGGTTTATTTAGATTGCATGAAGATAGGGTAAACGCGGTATATTCCGTCACATTAAGGAAGCATCGAGAAACAAAAAACTATAAAAAAATAACCGTATGCATTACTCAAGTTCTGTTTGCTTTATGTGACTCTCAAAACACCGTACTATGTGTCAGCAACAACGAAACGTCACAAAATGTTGCCATATTTATTTAAAAGCCTTTAGAATGGAAACCTACCAAATCCCTATATTCCGTCACTGTGTGTGGCTATATTCGGCACGTGGTGAGGCGTATTCCGTCCGCACTTCAAATTCTACCGATACGAGTATTCTGCTTAGGCACAGTCTCTCAAAATGTTCCAGAAAAACTTTTATATTACCAATTATTTACATTTATTTGTTTGTGGTGCAGCGAAATATTGCTTTCTTTGTCTCCATGTGTTCTTGTGTATGATGACGTCACCATGGGACGACATACGTCACTGTTTGTGACATTTGTAAACATATGGCTAGCGTGATTAGATGGGAGTCCATTTCGGCATTGAAATGAATGGTTATTTGTGAATAATATTTTCGATTGTGATATTATAACATATTTCTGATTGTGAAATAATCTTGATTGTGATATTGACACTTGACAGATATTCAACATTTGAATATCGAAGTTCTAACATCATGAATTAAGAGGTAAGAGTGTAAGGACTTAGCAAAGCTAGAATCATGGCTGAGCCTCTGAGGCAGTGAGGCTTAACCGATGTCATTGTAATTTTTTACGTCATTGATATCATTGTGGAACCAACGAAAGTAACTAAGGAATTTCCCAGTTCAAATATTTATTGATTTATTACTATCAATTTCGAAACTCCACATATTTCTAAAGGGAGTTGTGATGAGACCATGGGGCATAGTGGCAAAGCAGAGAGTTTTTTAGACTCGTTCTCAAGTTCATTTTTGAGTCCTATAAGTAGACCAGTAAAGTATCTTGGATACCAGAATTATCATACATAAGAAATCTGTTAAAATCTTGAGTAAATGAGGAAATAAAAATGAACTGATTCTAAAAAATCACTGGTTTGCCACTATGCCATGGGGATGGGGCCAGGGGTCGAACTGTTGAGTTTAGACCATTACAACTTGCAAGAGGGGCCCAAGGGCCAAGGGCATGGGGGCGAGGGCCGAGGGGCCTTGCGAAGGGTTAAGACCGACGCACGGCGGTGGACCAATAAGTACTCACAATAATTCCCTGCCACCATGATCCAAGATACTTTTCTGGTCTACTTTACTACTTATAGGACTCAAAAATGAACTTGAGGGAGAGTCCATAAAAACTCTCTGCTTTGCCACTATGCCCCATTTACCCAATATATAGGTACATCAGTTGAAAAAAGAATAAATCCCTTCATCTAAATGATCTGGAGTCCGGATATAGCTAGGTATGTGGAATTCAGGAGTCTCCAAAATTCAACTTGCTGACAGCCTGAGTGCCTGACACTGTGACACATAGCTACCTAGACAGTTAGACACAGTCATAGCCTCATAGGGATCATTAGCGATTGGATGTTGACAATGAATCATTTCGCTTCAATCCACAGTTTCCACACATAATACCGCGCAAATGGAACGTTTGGATTAATTCAAAACTCTTAGCGGCGTACTTCAACACAAATTATTACTGTAAGTTGCAATGCTAGGCCTACACTCTTTTCAGTCTTGTGCTGTGGCCTGTGGGCGTAGACCAAGCAGCACGCAGCAGGACACAGGAAAGATAGGGCAGCCATGATTAAAACTTTGAGAACGGCTGCTAACATTAACGCGCATTGAACATAATTCTGTCCTTCGATCCTGTACAACCATATGGAAAATAAAAATCAACTCAACAACAGATTCACACATCAAAAATCTATGAACAACAAACGATGGAAACTAATTTAACAAAACATTTCTCCTACACGGTATACGATACAATCGCACTTTAGCACCACTATTAGCCTTCGGGGCAATTCCTGAAGGTTCCAGCAATATCTTTTGCTCATCCGACAGTTTTATTAATTATTGCAGCAGACTTTATCAAATATGTAATTAAATAAATGAGTTTTAAATCATTCATTATATTAGTATTAAACTGTAATGAATTTATCATATTTATATAGTACTACGTTCGAAAAGCAACTTTTTTAAAAGATATAAATTTTCCTAAGGAATTTGATGGAAATGTTGCACAATTATGCTGAAGCAGACAGGGAGTAAAAAAAGGAATCTGTTACTTTCATTAGTTTAGGCGATAAATA